ATAGCTAAAAATTTATTCAATATCTACAAACATTATTTTAATAAAATGCTATAATGTGAATATTGATAGAAATAATATGTATACTTACTGTGACAAGAATTTTAAATAGGTTTCCCTTTTCTCCAAATGTTCTGCAAAATTTTTATTAAAATGCTGCACGTTCCGTGAATTCTTCTGTAATATCTTCCATATTAGCAACAACAGCGGCCCAGCCTTGTTGTTGCAAATGTTGATCATGAACTAATTTTTGACATACTCTTTTCCTGCTCTCTAGCCAATTCATAAAAGCGCTGAGCTAACTGTACCCGCGTGACAACAGTGCTGTATGTTGGCGGAAGAGACATGCAAGATTCTACTTCCTCACTAAGATCACGATGATCTGCAATAAAAATATAAATTGTATTAGTAATATTAATTACTACATAAGTACATATTAAAATTACTACCTTGCCCATAATCAACACTTGGTTCCGGTGGTATTGTATCATCTATGATAGAAGTACTAAACATATATATAGGATTAGTGTCAGTGCCAGCCGAATAGCTGCAAACACGATTGTTGTCGATCAAGACTTCTCCACCACTAACCAAAAGCACTTGAGTATTTTGTGGAATATTGCACGTTTTTTGTATCATTTCTTTTAGAAGAGACACACTATAAAAAAAATAGAAAGCTGGGTATTTGAAATATGAATAGACATGCAAATGAAGAATTTGTATACATAATTTTTATGCAAAAGACTTTATTTTGCACTCTTTATTTTTCAAGAGATAAATGACAAAGCAAGACTTAAATATTTATATCAGCAAATAGGACTTATTTACCTCTCTAATGCCAAATTCATATCAAAGGTCATCATCCGACCGGTATCTACATGGAATATGTATAACATCTTGAAGTTGATGATGTTCTTAGAATAAATAAGAACGGAAGTTATTATATTCCTCCTAGGCTTTACTCGGAAGAGAGAAGCCTAGTTGACCCAAAAATCAGCAGTTATAACAAAAAAAATACTGTCGAAACACCTTCCCAACTTCCGACATTAAAATGGTATGTAGGAACATGGAGTCAAAATTATATGCAGAAACAAAATTTAAATTCAAGTTTGGGTATGTAGAGGTTAAGACTCGATAGTAAAGAATCTGCAATAAAGTACAAAATAATGTAAAAAAAATTTTCGATAATTAATGAATTACTAAACTCTTATTATACAATCACTTGAGAAATTATAACATTTTGATGCATTTATTAGGAATCAAAACATTCATCCTAAAAGAAAGGTGCAATAATCTATATAACAAATATAAATTATGCAAGAATATATAATAAAATACATTTACAGTCATATGGGTGTCAGATATAAATTACATATGCAAGGTTCTCATATAACCCCAAGGCCATTATTAGTCAATTTTGAGTTTCAGTGAAAGAATTTAAATTGATTATATGATAAACTTACTTTACATAAGAATTCATTGTACGACCAAAATCGTAATAATTGCACTTGTTTCACAAAATATTATTCCAATAGTGATTATTCATTGTCAAGAAAAATGACGTGCAAACAACACTTCTTTATGTCAAAAGTCAGTCACCTATTAAACGTGTTGTATTAGATATTTCAGAGATGCAAACGAAATCATATGTAAGCATTTAATTATGCATTCTTGAACTAAATATGCATGCAGTGAAACTGTTTTCAAACAATGATCAATAATACCGTGAGCAATATTTGCTCAAGCATTTGCGCAATATTTGCGTGCATTGTTTAACGACCGAGTGTTTTGTACAAGATTTTAGTAAAGCTGACTGGTGTTTAAACTCACCTAAAACACTAAAATTAAAAATACAATATATTAGAAAAATATAACAGCGTGAATTTCACTAAATGGCATCTTGTATCAGCTGGTCTTTGTTTATAGTGAATGACGTTTAGATAGTGTTGTTTTGCGAAGATGTCACCACTAAAGCAATATCGACATTTGTAGAGCGTAGAGAGACCGTCTTACATTGGTGCTGCCTCATGGCATTTTGCACCATTCGAAATATAAACGAAATATTATTTTAATTACCCTTTTTCTGTACAGAAGTAAATATATCTCAAGACCTCAATACATCACAACTGTGCCATCACTAATACTATATACACTACTATGAAACACGTGGTCATTTGGAATCAAATCATATTTTTTTGCGAATTGAATAAAAACTTTAAAGCAAACCATCATACTTCAAAATCAATGTATTTATGTGTTTGTCCATCAATGAGATACGTAATTTAGAGTGTGTAGACCACAGTCGAGAAACACGTGTAGTCGACTACATTATGCGCAATTTAAAATATGCTCATATACAAATACGAAAACAACAAAGTTTTAGTAACAACAAACTTTAAGGAATTTAAAATTTCCATGATATTTTAATTAAATGTTGTTTATGTTTATAACACGTATATGCTACTCTAAAATGATTCTAGATATGCATGCTTACAGTAGACAAGTGTGAAGTAATTAACTAATTCATGTTTTTTCCTTAATTAAGTGAAACAACTTCATTGCTATTTTTTCTACTATTTTTTTTTAAATAACAGTGAATTTTTGACACTTGAAGAAGGAAAATAACAAGCATTTTTATATTTTTTTAACCAAAATAAAATAATCCGAAAAAATAATGTCGAATTCTTTAGATAATCAAATAGATGTTCTTGAGAACGAACTGCAGATCACTCAAATAGTCTCCGAATTAGATTTGAAAAGGGTAATAAATTTATTTTTATTAACATCATAACCTACAATTAAAATTTATCCTAAATGTGAAGCGACCCTTATTCACAGAAAATATTAGATGACACAAAGAAAGCTCTACGAGAAGCTCAAACCAGTCGACATGATTTAGAACAAGAACTGGAAATTGAAAAACATCGAGCTGCTGATTATAGGACAAAGTTGGAGTTGGCATTGGCAACCCTGAGGCGATGTGAGCAGGAAGGAGCAGAAGCCACCGGAAAGGAAGCCATGCTTGAATGCGTTGTAAGGAAAATATAAGAAGCCAATTTTAATAGACGTTAACATAACATTGTTATGGCAACGCTATCTTATTCTTTTTTGGTACTAAAAGCTGTGAAAAGATCTATATACTATGCGATAGGTACAAACGAACCTAGAAAAATGGTATCATAACTGCCTCTTTGTGATGCGCATTTATAACACACGGTTTTGGGTGTAAAACGCCTGATAGTATAACAACTGGCTAGAATTTTCACATTTTTAGTACTAAGAAAGATACTAATAACAACGCTATGTTGTCGTCTATTTTACCGCAGAATTGGCCATTAAATGTATTCATATAATAAATCAAATTTGTTGTTGCATACTGCTTCCAAACCCTGTCTAATATATCATTTTGCCATATTTACATTAATTTTTGATACATCTATAAGCATCAAAAATTAATCTTAGATCATTATTATTATTAGCATAAACTATGTTTATAATTATGAACAATATCTACACGCGAGGCCGATAATGAATACATTTAGATAACAAACACAATGTTCATACGTGATTTATTCATGCATTTATTTATTTATGTACATATGTGATTATATACTTCGACAAGACAAAAGAGCGCGATGCATTTAAAAAAAGATTGAGAGAAGTTCAGCAAAGGAATGACGAACTTGAAAGTCAATTGGAAGAAATGCGAAATAAAAATAACAGCAATGATATCCGAAGGAGAGGACTTTATGAACAAATCGAGCAGTTTAAACTGAAAGAAAATTCCGTTAATCAGTAAGTAAAGTCTGCGGCTAAAAATATATAGCGGTAAAAGAGCAACAATTAGTCATTATTGTATTAGATGTACAGTATGAATTGGTGATGTGAATGATATATTAAACATAAAAATAAACTCAATTTAATCATTCACTTACTAACCAATTAGATAGTCAATTATTGTAGTATCGATTCTATTACTGTAGAATCGATGATCATGATGTAGGAATACCGTAATTACTTACTTCTTCATTATTAAGTAAAGTTATTCTTCTTAATTATTTCATTTTAAATGTATTTTAAGAAATGGAAATTTATGGTTTTATAGAGAACATTAGTAATACTTTTAGCTTATACCACTCACTGTTGTATAAATATGCTAAACTCTGTTATTTCTTTTCCTATAACTGAAAATTAAATGTTGGTAGAGTAGTTCCCAGGCGTGTTTCTGCTCTATAGACCACATATATATATATATATATATATATATATATATATATAAATGTATATTGAAATTTGTTGAATTTTTTAAAAGGGTTTATTGCCATCCTCCCCACTCCAAAATTCTAATTATAATTTTATATTCTATCAATATTTAAAATGTTTTTTTTTTCATAATTTAATCTAATAAAGCACGCGGAAAACATGATATCAAATCTACAACCGTATCAGTATCTCAGATCTGAATTCAAGGTATTTGTCTAGACCGAATGTCTATAACGTGCTAAAATATTATAAACAAAATATACAATTAACATACATATTTATTAATAGATACACTCATATATATATATATACATATATATATATATATACACACATATATATATATATATATATATATATATGTTCCTTCATATTATATTTGATAAATCAAGGTTTTATATAATAGAAAATAACGATATCACAATAAAACTTTTTTTAATTGAGTGAATCGATTATATAAAACCATTGGTGGCACAAAAAGATAGAGATGAGACAAGAGTATCTACCTTTGAGACTAATATTTCCAGCATTGCAATCCTGTCTTTGTTCAAAACAGAAATATCTTCATTTTTGCATCTTCATTTCTAAATACAGTTATCCTTTCCTATTATTTTTAAATATTAGCATGATCTTGCTAGATGACTTGATAATGGAATGTACATAGTCTCCAAAGCATCATAATTAAATTATGTATTAAAAAATTAACAATTTGTTTCTTATTTGGATCTCTTATTTGGGGCACACTTTATTGTTACATTATAATTTTAATTCTAATAAATAAATTATTAGATAGGTTCAAATATTAGATTAGGCGGATCTCAGTCATTAACGATAAGAAATCTTATCAATTATTTACAAATGTCGCAAATTATGATGAAACTTTGCTCATTTATTCGTCATGTGCACTAAAAGAAATTATCATTGAGTTAAACAAATAAAATGTATTTAAGCTTGGCTATTATAGATGTTATACAATTTTAACACAGGTATATCCAAGATCATCGGGCCGATGAAGCACAGTTTAAAAAAGATCTTATGGCTTCTAAAAGAATGGCATTAGTTTTGCAAAATACAATAAAATACTATAAAGAACTCAATGAAAAATATATGACGGAGAAACAGAATTATATTAAAGAAATCACTAAATATGCAGGTAGCAAACTTATTCGTAAATTGCGTATGCTTTGTAGTATTTTTATGGTTTCTATATAAAATTATATATATATATATATATATTTAATTTATTTAAATAAACTTATCTATTACATCAGGTCAAGTAAAGTCACTACAGGTGCAAAACATGAATGATTCGAAAGACTTCGTCGCAGATGATGATGCAAAAGAAGATGTAAGTATCAATTACAAATTATAACAAATAAAACCATGATCTCTAAATCTTATATTTTTTTACATAGGTTTATAAAACTATTGCTTATCTGCGAGGGGCATTAGAAAAAGAACGGGAAACCACTGCTCTTCTCACGATTCAATCGGAAGAAAGGAGTCTTGAGGATAAACAAAAGTATGAGTTCTCCAAGAAAGATTTCGATTTGTCCCAAGATGATGAAACCCTGTAATGGTGTGTTAAAAAAAGATTATCGTTATTATTTAAGTAATAGTTAACATCATCGCCGTGGAATCCTCATTGAAATTTATGCTATTGGCATAAATAAATCTTCACAAAAGGATAAATCAATGACTTTCACATAAACGAATTCATTCACTTAATTAGAATATACTTACTTCTTATTTAAAATATTTTTAAATTGATTAGAAATAATATGTTTTTGCGTAGTTGTAACTTCGTTCAAGATTGAATAAACATTTAATACATCTGTATGTTTTTGTTTTTACTAAT